CATTTTATTTTTCTGTTTTCACTTTAATTTTAAAGTTTTAGTAATTTTGTTGTGTGTTTTTGTAATTTTTATTAGTTTTTTTAATGTCTATAGTTTTTATTAATTTTTATTTATTTGTTTTAGTTTATTTAATTTTAGTACTTCAAGTTAAACTAACGAAATTGCGAAACGTTGCCTTGGCGATTAGCAGTAATAACTGACTCCAATATTGGGGTCTATAAATCTGTGCAGTTGTGAAATTAACAGTAGTTTCTAGTAAACATTTTCACATATTCACTCACTACACGGCAGTGAAAACACAGCAGAGATTCTAATTGGTTAATTGGTGTTGCCAGGAGCACCTGATAGCCAATGACCTAGTATGAGTAGTATGTGACAGTGTTGTGTGTTTTCGGCAGGGCGGTGACCTGTTCGATGCCATCACTTCCTCCACGAAGTACACGGAGCGGGACGCCAGCGCCATGCTGTTCAACCTGACCGGAGCGCTGCGATACCTGCACAGAATGAACATCGTACACCGAGACATTAAACCAGAGAACCTGCTGGTACACGAATACACACACACACAGAGACACACACACTGCACAGACTGTATATTCTATTGCCCTACACCTAAACCTACCCCTTTCAGGAAACTTTCTGCATTTTTAGATTCTCAAAAAACTTCATTCTGTGTGATTTACTACTCACATACACATACATATGGAGTATAAACACACATCTGTGTGTGTGCAGGTGTGTGAGTATCCAGACGGCACCAAGTCTCTGAAGCTGGGTGATTTTGGTCTGGCGACGGCGGTGGAGGGACCGCTGTACACCGTCTGCGGGACACCTACGTACGTCGCACCGGAGATCATCGCAGAGAGCGGGTAAAACTTAGCCTATAAAACTACTGTTTCATTATTTGATGTTAATTTGTAAGGTCTAAGGTCTCTAGATAGTCACACACAATCTCCTCCATGTCTTCTGTCTCTGATTGATAGTTTAGAGTTGTTTATCCAGTCAAAGCTCTTTTAGTGTAACTGTAGTCAGATCTTGACTGGTTTTGATCAAGTAAGCGTCAGAATAACTGCAGTAATATCTCCAGATGAACACTTACTGGACTGAAGCAGCTCAGCTTTACTTGATTCGCCATCAATTATTTTTGTAGAAATATCAGTGAGTCTCAAATCTGATCATCAGGATCTTTTGAGGAGCGTTTGTTTCCAGAAGCTTTACTTTCACTGTTCCTCAACGCAGGGGCGGATCTAGCGGAGGATATTTATATCATTTTATGTCAGTATCTGCTCTACTGTTAGAAAGATCTCACTGATTTACATTATAAGCATCAGAATCTCATCATATAAATACCAGCATCTGGAGCAAATTCATATTTTTAGCTCAGTTTGAGTCTCTGAATAAAAGTTGGAGGGGGAGTTTTTCCCCCTCCATATTCTCACTGTATCAGACTGGAGATATAGAGTGACCACTGATATTTATATCATTTTATGTCAGTATCTGCTCTACTGTTAGAAAGATCTCACTGATTTACATTATAAGCATCAGAATCTCATCATATAAATACCAGCATCTGGAGCAAATTCATATTTTTAGCTCAGTTTGAGTCTCTGAATAAAACGTGAGTTTTTCCCCCTCCATATTCTCACTGTATCAGACTATATGAGCCATAAAAGCCTGATGGAGCAAATATGATACAAGACATAAAACACATATGCAAAGTTTAAGCAAACTTTTTCTTATGATTCGTTTTAGTGAACTGGTTCACGTAATGCATGTAAATGAAGCAGTTCATAAAAATGATTCAGTGATTCTTTGTAAAGGATTTTAGGTGTTTTATAGTGAAATATTTACTTAATTGCTGATCTTGCTTGTATTTATTGTACATTTAATTTTAATGCTGTCATCCTTAGTTTATACTTCATAAGTGATGTTCATCCTCTGTATTTTTGTCTTGTTTTCCAGTACAAATATCTACATTTTCTTAAATCAAGATACATTTACTGGAAACGCAAAATAGCATAAGAATTCTTGTTTTCTTACCACAGAAATATACGTATTTACGTCTTAGTTATTTTAGCACATCAAAGTAAACTAAATGAAAATGAGAAATACTTCCTTGGCAGCTAGCTGAAATAAAATAAGTTTAAGTTACACATTTTTTTAAGGTTTTAGTTAACTATAATAACCCTGTTTGGTGCCAAATAAATATTTCTGTTTGTAATGATAGTGATTATATCATCTGTAGCATAGCTCACTTCATTTTTAACAGGTTAGAGCGACTAACTTAACTACTTTAAATGAGAAGAAACAGTGGTTTGTGCTGATAGCTGGAGCGAGAGCACATGGTTTAGTGATCAGTGGAGTGAAAGCATGTGTGTGCTGCAGGTACGGGCTGAAGGTGGACATCTGGGCTGCGGGTGTGATCACGTACATCTTGCTGTGTGGCTTTCCTCCGTTCCGCAGCGAGAGGAACCAGCAGGAGGAGCTGTTCGAGCAGATCTTACTGGGCAGACTGGAGTTTCCCTCGCCGTACTGGGACAACATCAGCCTCTCTGCTAAGGTTTGCAAAGAACAACCACACAAACACAGAATAAATGCTCATTCAGCGCTCACTTTTACTGCTTACTTTCAAGTTTTGAATTGTTGAGCCACAGAATAAAAAAAAAGGTATTTGCGAGTTTATATCTCACAATTCAGATTTTTTTCCTGCAACGTAAACTTGCAATTCTGAGAAGTTCAAATTGTGCAATTACCTTTACTACTTTTTTTATTTTTAAGTCAGAATTGCGAGATGTGAAACTTGCAGTTCTGAGAAAAAAGGTCACAATAGCTGCGTCCCAAATGATGCACTATACACTCATACACTATGTACTTATGCACTATGTACTCAACCATGTGTAGTATGAATTATATACGCTTATTTTGTCATTCATAATCGGAGTCTGATAGCCCCTCCCCCTCGATACTTAATTAAAGCTGTGACAGTTGAGTGCATGAAGTGTCCAACATTCCACACTTAAATTTTTCGGTTATTTAAGTGCATCATCCTGGTATTTAAAGTGCACTTTTTCTTTTTGGAATTTTCAGTGTGAACGCACTACTCACACTATTTATACTACTAAACGTCATAGAATAGTGCATAGGGAAGTCGTGGCCTAATGGTTAGAGAGTCGGACTCATAACCCAAAGGTTGTGGGTTTGAGTCTCGTACCGGTAGGGATTGTAGGTGAGGGGAGTGAATTGCATAGGGAAGTCGTGGCCTAATGGTTAGAGACTGAGGTGCCCTTCAGCAAGGCACCGAACCCCCAACTGCTCCCCGGGCGCCGCAGCATAAATGGCTGCCCACTGCTCCGGGTGTGTGTTCACAGTTTGTGTGTGTTCACTGCTGTGTGTGTGCACTTTGGATGGGTAAATGCAGAGCACTAATTCTGAGTATGGGTCACCATACTTGGCCACATGTCACGTCAACAAAGTCAACAATCAACAGAAGTATGCGATTTGGGACGCACCTAATTACTTGTTTTATTCTTTTATTCCGTGGCAAAAACGAGCTTCCATAAGAATCTGATGTGTCTTTTGCAGGATTTAATTGGTAAGATGTTGCAAGTGAATGTCGGTCTGCGCATCACAGAAATAAATTACAGTTTAACAGATATTCACATAAAAAACAGCTGTTTTAAATTAGACAGTTAGAATAATATTTCAGTTTTTACAGCACTTTTGATCAAATCAATGCAGCCTCAGTGAGCAGAACTGAAAATACAGCTGCGCATCACAGAAATACATTACAGTTTAACAGAGATTCACATAAAAACCAGCTCTTTTAAATTAAACAGTTAGAATAATATTTCAGAATTTTTACAGCACTTTTGATCAAATCAATGCAGCCTCAGTGAGCAGAAGAGACTTCTTTCAGAAAATCTTACCGTTATGTAAATGTTGTTGTGTGTGAGCAGGACGATGCGATGATGGACACCAACATGGCGTGTGAGATGGAAGATGGTGTTGAATCAGAAAACACACACAGCACAGCAGCAGAGGCAGAGGTGACACGCACACACACACACACACACACACATACCATAATTACCTTCAGCTGATACACTGTGTCTCGTTTCCTCTGTTACAGGTGGATAATTTCCATGGTAACATTTGTTATATATATTTTTTTTAAGAAATGTCTTATATTTAGCATTAAATAGCATTTAGACATTCATGTTACAAAAGATTTCTATTTCAAATAAATGCTGTAAATGTTGAGTGTAACATCTGATTGTTTCTGACCGTGTGTGTGTGTAGATGACAGCTGGCAGTAGTCTGATGAATTTCTCCGGAGGCGCAGAAGAAGAGAAACCCTGATCACCACCACAAACCTCAACACAGAGACCAGACCAGACCACCGTCTCTCTTCATCTTCCATCCTGTTATTAGTGGTGTTTGCTAAGTCAGCCATCGATTTTACTAAGTTCTCATATTTTAGTGTTAGCCACATGCTGAAACCTCTAGCACTAAGTATTACATCCCACAGACACTCAGAACACCTTAGCAACTGCATAGCAACACCACAACAACCACCGCAGCATCGAGGCAGTTTGTTTACATGCACTAATTTTCTTCAATCTGAATGAATCCAATCCGATTTCAGATCCTGAAAGTTGTTTATATGAACGGTAAATTTCACATATTCATTTACATGTATATTTGCGTATTCCGAACAAAAGACACTTCTTTGATAACTGGAAAAGGCCACTGCGATAATGTCAACAGAGCTAACGCGAGTCGTTTTGGATTAGATGACACCTAAAAGAAAAACTTTTTTAGCAAATATTTAGTAAATATTCCTTCTCCTCCACTGACCAGCTAACAAAAATATGTTCTAAGAAAGTTATAATAACGTTATGAATTTCTGAATGTTTTGAAACAAGTAGAAACTTTCAAAAAAAAAAATGTTAGATGTACATCCAACTAAAATGTTTTCCTAATGTGTCCATGATGTTATAAAATGTTCTCTGAACGTTCTAAACATCCAGTTTGTTAATGTTTAGAAACGTTGTGTTTTTGGGGGGGTTCTATTTGATCATTTTGCAAACATTAGGGCAATGTTACTTTTGAATGTTCTCTGAACATTCTAAAACTAGTAACATTTAAAAAAAAAACTTAAGATAAATGTCCAACTAAAGCGTTTCAGGAATGAAGTATAAATAATGTTTTTGTGCTAACGTTTTGAGAACACTCTTAAAGACCAGAGAACTTTGAGCAAACATTCTATTAACGTTACTGGAAGAATGTTCGTGAGAGAACCTTAACCAAAGTTCTGAGAACGTTCCCTGGTGGCTGGGATTATTAGTTCGTAGGAGGTAAATACGTAATGTCTGTAATATAAGACACATCCCAGATAGCACAGGTACGTCTGCAAGATGTCTAAAACATTTAGTAATTAAAAAAAAATACAGATAGACAAAATAAGTCACAATGTAGTATGACATTTCCCCAAAAACAAAGTTGAAAATGAACAATAAATTAGGCGTATTCAAACAATCAAGCACACAAACAGAAACAAATGAAATAGCAGCACAAATAGCAAACACGCCATTTCATCACCAACACAAAATAACAGCAAAAACCCCATGCAATATGTCTGTTAAAGATCTCTTCATCTGGAAAGCATCTGCTGTGTGCAAACATCTGATAGACGTCTTTAAGATGTCAGTTTAAAGGTCCCATATTGTCAAAACTGAAATGTCCTGGCTTTTTTCACGATAACTGAGGTCTAGGGACTATGTAACTACCATATACGTTTCAAAACAGTCAGTCCACGGTAAAATTCACACAGCCTGCATAAAGTAGCTGTGATTTTTCACGAAGTTTCCCCTTTGTTTTGCTGCCTCCAGCTAGCGCTGTGACGTCGCTGACCCTAGTTACCTGTGGTTGGCCTGACCATGCGTCACTCAGAAACAACAGGCCAATCAGAAGAGAGGTCCGTGAATATTAATTAGACAGGCCAAAATCGACCTGTTCTCAGCCTAGCTCCTGAGAGAGGAGCTGTAAAAATATATTGAGATGGTTTTTGGTACTTATACCGCAAATATATTCTTAAGGACATCAAAACTTAAAATAAAACTCCAGAAAGATGTAAAATATGGGACCTTTAAATCATAAACATCTTAAAGACATCTTCTAAACGTCTATTTGACATCTGATAGGAAACGTCCTATAGACGTATTGGAGATGAGCAAACACTCTAAAAAATACGTCTTGCAGATGTAATGCAGACGTCTAATAGACATCTCCGTGATGTCTCGGCACTGCGCATGTGCGCAAAGTATTTTTTAATCCGTTCGATAAAATGGTCGTATTAGAGCGTATTGCAAGCTTAGCTTTTTCTCCCCTACAGATTATTTCCCTTACAATCAGATTGAAATTTCATTCGGACTGACTGACTGAGGGAAGTACATGAAGGCTTTTCAGTCCGATACTAACGGATTATTTGAGTGCATGTAAACTTGTTCTTCAGATCGTGTAAGAATCTAGCCCTTCAGTTCTGGTCTGTGTTTGTACGCAGGGCTTCAACTAAACCAGCGACCTCGACTGTTACTGCACTGTGTCCTACCCTTGCCCCCTCTCTTTCTGTACTTATGTGTCAGTGTTGGTGTCTGATCAGATGCATCTTTAGAGTCTCATTTCAGACATTGGCGTCTTTATACCTGAAAGCATTTGAGCGTCTGGAACTGAATGAGAACGAGACGTTAGAATTGTGTTGCCAGATGTTTCTGATTTGTGTGACCAAATGTGTTACGAGTCTGATGTAGTGTTATGACTTTGCTTTAGACCAAAACTTCAGCCTTTACTGAATGAGGACGAGTGTGTGTGTGTGTGTGTGTGTGTGTGTGTGTGTGTTTATCTCCATGAAATGCCTCCGTTTTTAGTGTAATCTTGTGGTATTAACTTTTGTACGGTGGCTGTTCGGGGCCTTAAGCTCCTCGTAATTATTCTAATTATGGATTTATTTCATGTTTTGTTTTGTATTGCAACAATACATCATGAGTAGCTGATGAACCCTGAGATGAACGCGAGTCTGTGTGTTTTATTGCATGTGAACGGCGACTGAAATGAAGTGTGAATCCACTTTTTTTGGGTTTCATTTTAGCAACCAAATGTGACAGAAACATTTGCAGATTACATTTACCTTATGGATTACATTTCCATGGGAAGTCATGTACATCAAAAATTTGGGGTCATTAAGAATTTTGTTTAAAGAAATGAATGCTTTTATTCATCAAGGACGCACTCAGTTGATCAAAAGTGACAATAAAGACATTTATGATGTTACAAAAGATTTCTAATTCAAATAAATGCTGTTCTTTTACTTTCTATTAATCTGTGAATCCTTAAAAATAAAATGCATCACAGTTTCCACAAAAATATTGTGCAGCACAACTGTTTTCAACATTGATAATAATCAGAAATGTTTCTTGAGCAGCAAATCAGCATATTAGAATGATTTCTGAAGATCATGTGACACTGAAGACTGGAGTAACGATGCTGAAAATACAGCTGCGCATCACAGAAATACATTACAGTTCAACAGATATTCACATAGAAAACAACTGTTTAAAATTAGAATAATATTTCACACTTTTTACTGTGCTTTTGATCAAATAAATGCAGAAGAACTTCAAAAACATTTAAAAAATCTAAATGACCACAAACTTTGAACTTTGGGCCATTTTTATAATGAATATACATTTTACTAGTTATTCCAAGCTCTAAAATATTTCATCAGGTAGATATTGTGAGTAAAAAAATTAATCCTTCTCCTTATCCAGTATATCATGAATGACGGGTCATGTATTGTACAGTAAGAATCAAAAATGTTGAAAACTGATGTGCTTGAAGGAAAGCTTGACATGATGGGGTAAAAAAGGACAGAACGCATTAAATTGATGTTTACATAACTGATCAGTTTAATGTTGGTTAAAACTCTGTAAACAAGTTCATCTGGCCTTACACACACACACACACACACACACACACACACACGTCAGTACAGTACAAGAGATCCACACGCTTCAAACGTCCCCTCACTAACCTCGTTAAACTGTATTACATCTAATTAAGGCAAAATGCAGAAATGCTCATCGGGCACATGACAGGACGGCCCCGTGTGTTCAGGGGTCCAGCGGTACTTGATTGTGGTTTTTGGGGACGATGCCACGTTTCCCACCAAATTCTCCGAGGAACC